CATCACCTCTATAAATCAGGCCTATCTGTGTCTTCCACTTGGTACATATTATTGTAGCTTTATGATCTACAGGTTTTGCCGCTTAGTCTTATGCTTTGTGCTATTTGACGTTGAACTGGCTAAAACAAGTCACTTGGTTGAAAAAGGGACATGATTTTCAAACTCAACAGCTTCAAGGCAGAAAGCAGATGATCTTGTGTGAAAAGCCTCACTTTGGAGCGGGTGATTGGTTCTTGCTTGGATTATAACCCTGAAAATACATTCTTTGTACTCTGCATTAATTCATTCTGCAAGTGTGTACTCCACTGCTCATTCCCATTAAAAATTATTCTGCATCATAGCATTGGCCTCCTGGTTTTCCTTTCTCCTCCATTCTTTCTATCCCAAGCAGTTTGGGTGAAATTCACCACGGTGATGGTGCTCTGTACATGCTCCCTGCACTACATCCCTCCAACTCAAGAGAATACCTAAGCAGCAAAGTACATTAACTGGTCAATACCATGGTGCTGGCCATCTGCCCAGGGGAGATAAGTACTAACTGTGGTAAGAAGAAGATATTCCCCCTTGATCCAAAAGTCTCAGAAGGGAATTAGAATATATTTCCCTGTTCTAAATATTACATAAAATTGTAGAATCCTTGAACTATAGGGCTGAAAGGAACCTTGGGAGGTCACCAAGTTCAGCCCCATGTGTGACAGCAGGACCTGACCTGACTGGTCTTTGTCTAACCTCTCCTTCAATGATGGAGATTCCACAACTTCCCATGAATGCCTGAAATCAACACTTTACAATCATTACCGTTAGAAAGTCATTGCTAATATCTAACCTGTATCTCCCATCATGCACTTTAAGCCAAGTACATCTCATCTTATCTTCCGTGGATACAGAACAATTGATCACCATTTTCTTTAAAATGGCCCTACACATACTTGAAAACTGTTATCCAGTCCCCCGTCAGTCTGCTTTTCTAAACACTAAACATGCCCAGTGTTTTCAATTTGTCCTCAGAGGTCAGGGTTCTGAAACTTTTGTCATTTTACTAGCTCTCCTCTGGACTCTCTCCAGTTTGTCCACATCTTCCCCATTGAAGTGCGCTGGGCAAAACTGGGGACAAAATTCCAGCTGAGGCCTTTACTGAATTTCATTTTGTTGATTTCAGATGAAGTCTCCAATTAGTGAAGCTCATTTTGAATTCTCATCCTGTCTTCCAAAGTGCTTCAACCCCTCTCAGCTTGGTGTCCTCTGCAAATATTATCAGTGAACTGTCCACTCCATTATTCAAGTTATTAGAGAAAATACTGAAGAGTAAAAGACCCAGGATAATCTCCACTGGCTACCCCCCATTCCCCTAGGTATAGCATCCTAGGTAATTTCCCTCCAGTTAATTTATGATAACCTTTAAGTGAATATGAGGGAAAGGATTTTTAGTTGAAGAATGAATTTTCTTCAGCTGACCCTGTGTCAATGCACTCCATATGTTTTATGGAAATGTGCTTTTGAGTGTGAATACGATGTAACTGGAACATGCTTCGTGCAAAAGGTCTCTTGTAAGGTATCATATCAAACGTTACAACCTATAGGAATATATCTCTCCTATTTGGATGCATGTATCATTCTTGTATCTGAAGCTAGAAATATGAATTATAACTCTGAGGTCCGATTGTAATTATGCAATGTGTGGGCCATTAATGGGGGTTTAGAATCTTGATGGCTCCCATTGACTAGGACAATTGGTTGTAAATGGTTTATTTACCTGCACACCTTCCTGTGTAGGTGTGGGCCAACCCAGGAAGAATGGAGACTAGGGGTCTTCCTGTGACATGTGACCATGTCACACGATACTGGAATCCATTTAATCCTTGTACTTTTCCATTGATGAGGCAGAGGTGGGGACAAGCACAGACAAAAGATCCCCGCCTTGTGCCAAAGCTATAAAACGGGGTGGAGCAGGACAAAGGGGGCTACCGGTCATGAGAAAACCCCTGCTTGCCACCTGAGATGTCTGCTGGAACTAACAAGGACTGTACAAGGGGAAAGGAGTGGGCCCAGATTAGGAAGGAGTCTAGTCTGTGAAAGGAGCTTATTGGAACATCTCTGAGGGTGAGATATTATCTGCAATCAGTTTCTTAATGTATTAGGCTTAGACTTGCGTGTTTTTACTTTATTTTGCTTGGTGACTTACTTTGGTCTGTCTGTTATTACTTGAAACCATTTAACTCCTACTTTTTATACTTAATAAAATCACTTTTGTTTATTAATAAACACAGAGTAAGTGATTAATACCTGGGGGAGCAAACAACTGTGCATATCTCTCTATCAGTGATACAGAGGGCGAACAATTCATGAGTTTACCCTGTATAAGCTTTGTACACAGTAAAACGGATGTATTTGGGGTTTGGATCCCATTGGGAGTTGGGTGACTGGGTGCTGGAGACAGGTAACTTGCTGAGCTGTTTTCAGTTAAGTCTGCAGCTTTGGGGGCGTGGACCAAACCCTGAGTCTGTGTTGCAGCAGGCTAGCATGTCTGGCTCAACAAGGCAGGGTTCTGGAAGTCCCAAGCTGGCAGGGAAAACTGGCTCAGAGGTAATTTCAGCACATCAGGTGACAGTCCCAAGGGGATCTCTGTGACCGAACCCGTCACAGCACCTACTTACTATATTAGAAGCACTTTGCCTGTTTCATGCTGAAAATTTCTAATTCTCTGTTCCTGCAAAATGTATTCACAGAGGAACTGAAAATTAAGAATTTCAAAAGTGCGTGGTCCTAGATTGTGCTTGAGACATATTCATGGGAACAGTGGTCCAGAGAATAGACAGTGAGTACTTCTAAAAGCCAGGATTTTTCAAGATGTCTGAAGTTGGGCACCAAAATCACCAGTTGCTTTTGAAAATCTTGGCCTTGTGGTTAGCCATAGATGTCTTGAATGATCTTTGGTAAATCAATATCCTCTCTCCTCTCTCCTCTCCCCATATGTAAAAAAGGTGGTGGGATTAAATCATTTACACTGGGAGGATTACTATATATTTATTTAGTTGAGCATGTTGCATAGTCCCGAGTATCACAGCATGAGGAGCTTTCCAAGTTGAACTTGTCTGAAAGAGGTGATCCTGGATATTATTGCACAATGGATATAGGATTCGAGGAATCACAGAGCAATTCCTGTGTTCTGGAATTCCCATGAAATGTTCTCTAGTAAATTTCATATATCCTTTTGTTCTTCCTATTCCCCTCATTATAGGAATTGCAGGTTAAGGTCTACACTACGAGTTTAGGTTGAATTTAGCAGCGTTAGATCGATTTAACTCTGCACCCCTCCACACAACAAAGCCATTTTTGTCTACTTAATGGGGTCTTAAAATCGATTTCTGTCCTCCTCCCCCGATGAGGGGATTAGCACTGAAATCTACATCGACGGGTTGAATTTGGGTTATTGTGGACATAATTTGACAGTATTGGCCTCCGGGAGCTATCCCAGAGTGCTCCATTGTGACCGCTCTGGACAGCACTCTCAACTCAGATGCATTGGGCAGGTAGACAGGAAATCCCCGGCAAACATTTGAATTTTATTTCTGTTTGGCCAGCGTGGCAAGCTGATCAGCACAGGTGACCATGCGGAGATCATCAGCAGAGGTGACCATGGAGTCCCAGAATCACAAAGGAGCTCCAGCATGGACCGAACGGGAGGTACTGGATCTGATCGCTGTATGGGGAAATGAATCCATGCTATCAGATCTCCGTTCCAAAAGACGAAATGCCAAAATATTTGAAAAAATCTCCAAGGGCATGAAGGACAGAGGCTATAACCGGGACCTCCAGCAGTGCCGCATGAAACTTAAGGAGCTCAGGCAAGCCTACCAAAAAAACAAAAAGACATGCCGCTTCTATCATGAGCTGCATGCAATTCTAGGGGGTGCCCCTACAACGACCCCACCCCTGGACATGGACTCCTGCAAGGGCATCTGACGCACCAGGGATGAGGATTTTGGGGAGAAGGAAGATGCGGAGGAAGAGGAGGTTGAAGTTAGTACACAGCAGGTAAGTGGAGAAACCGTTCTCCCCGACAGCCAGGAACTGTTTATCACCCTGGAGACATTACCCTCCCAACCCGGGCTCACGGATATTGAAGGCAGAGAAGGCCCCTCTGGTGACTGTACCTTTGTAAATATAATACATAGTTTAAAAGCAAGAGTGTTTAATGATTATTTGCCCTGAAGACTTGGGATGTATTTGCCGCCAGTAAAGATACTGGAATGCAGTCAAGCAACATCCGTTCTTTATCTCTCTCAGGAGAGTGATATCATTCATGGTCACCAGATTGAAATAGAGGAATTTTATTAAGGGGACATTTAGGGGTGGCCATTCCTGCTGGGCTCTGTGCCTGTGGCTGAGAAGAAATCATCCCCGCTGTTAGCCACATGGTGCGGGGAGTTGTGAAGCAATCATCCCAGAGAATTGGGTGTGAGGGGCGGTTTAGTTGGGTTTGTGCTGCACGTTAACCCAAAAACCGCAGCCCCTCCTTTCAAA